ACTTGGGTTGGCAATCCAGTCTTAATATCGATCATGTACATGGTTTCGGGATGTGACAAATTTCAACAATTTCTACCATGCTAATTCATAGTTTATCTCATATTAACAAAGATAAAAATGAATATTTTACCTTTTTATTTTTTATTAATATAAATACGACTTACTCAAAAAGGAGAGGAATATTGTTGGAGTAAAAATGATGAATTTACTGAATAAATAAAATTTGACAATCAATGAGATGAAATATCAAGAACTCAATACTGATCAGGAGATAAACTTTCTAGACCTCAAGCAAAAACATTGAATAGTAAGTTTTAGATATCTACTTTGTGAATTCAACTGCAATTTATGATACTATAAAGATAACTCCTATCCTGTTAACTCAACAACAGATTTTCTCCATCTATTATTTGCTATTATCTTGACTATCTGATATTTATTCTTCATTTTTGCAACAACATCCGTTGGCTAAAAAATACATTATCTTCAAGGAAAAAAATAGGAAATTGCTGGTGAACTTTGTCATGATCAATGAACAATAGTTTTGCCTCCATACAACATGTCAATTCCATGGCACAATTGATGTTATTGATATCGTGGTTATGGAGCTTATACGGAATAATTTTTGACAATCCATCCAATAAAATAACCCAATTTTCGTTCAACTTAGGACTTGTGACAATGGTGATGAATTAATCGATATACTTGTCCGCATATGATTGTATGCACAAAACTGCTAGATATCTAAAAGGGATTTCTTGATTGCCTCCCATTATAGCGTTGAGTGAGTTTAAAGTCATGTTGGGATTGTTTTGTTGAAACCAACGTAACCAATGGAGTGATGCCCTTGAGCATTGATACGGCGAGAGAACCATTTTTTAGATGCTATTGGTGTTGTAGATCTTAGAAAATTGTTCCTCACAGATGATTCATCCAATCGAATCAGTATTATCAAATGTTAGTAATTCCACAGTGTGTGAAAGAACTGAAATAGTTGTGGTTGAACTTGACGTGGGCTGCAATGGTTTTTTTTGGCGGGGGACTGGCTGTGGGTATGGAGCTAGGTGATGGTGATTACACGGTTTGGGGCACAACTGCCTTCCCCGTGGTAAGGTTAGAAATTAGAGCTTTCTAGTAGTTAAAACCGTTTGTTAAATTATTTTTCAATATTTATTCTGAATTAACTGTATTAAGCTTTTCACTTACTTTTTAGAAATATCATTCTCTCTAACGCATTAATAAAGGCTTGCATTCTTCTTTTGACGTGAATTAAACTGTATAAAGAATGTTCTCATGCATAATTAAAAAATATATCGTATCAATTTGTCAGAGCAAAAAAAAGATTAGGAAGACGAACACGTTGAATATGTAAAACATTATTAAAAAAAATAGACGGGGGGAGAGGGTGGGGCGGAGATCAGTGAAGGCGCAAGCCCTAATTGCGGGACCCACGTGAGGGGCATAGGACGAGAAACACATTCCGAATTTTGATACTCGAAAATTGAAAATTTCCGGTGTGCTTAATCATTGCTTCTCCCACTAAACGTCCCCAAAACCTAAGCTGAGAAAGACTAGGAGTTGTCATGTGAGTGGCACCCTCCCACTGGCTATCGCCACCTCATCCGCCCCACTATAGTTTTTTACTACTCTTTTGACTCACTATTATTTAACTCTTCAGAAAAACATAATTACTATCATTATTAAATCGATTTTTAATCCTCTCCAAGGGGGAAAAACTTACGTTCTTAAAGAAGTTATTCTACATCTATGAACTCTAAAGGATGACTAACAGAATTAGGTGGTGTTTGGTTATATTAAAAAAGTTCGTTGAGTATAACAAAAAAGTTATTAGTTTAACATGGAAAAAAAGATAAAAAAAAAACTGACTTTCTTTTTAGAAAAATATGATTTTGCTACTTTTTGAAACTCTTTGAAATTTTTCTTTTGTTTTTTAATATTGAAATATGACCTGATTTAGGTAAACATTCTTTTACATTCCCATATAAAATCATTTGAGCTAATTAAAATAAAAAGGAGTTCTCTTGAATCATTTACGGAACATAAAAGGGTTTCTCTTTTATTTCACTAAAAGAACAAGTGACATGGTCTGTCAAGAAATATACTTACTCATGTATACTAGTATTTTATATGGTAATTTTTACTTCTCGATATTTGCATGTATTTATATTTTCTAACTGAATATATATTTACTTTATCTACATAAAAATTATAAAATTTTAGAAAAACTTATTAAATAAACAAAATCACATTCAACCAAGAATTATTATCAAAATTTGCCACTGTTATTATGGGATGAAAAATTTAAAAATGAAAATTTAGATAATGAAAAAGGGAAGTGGTGGAAGGGGTAGTGTATGGCCGGTCCAAGAGAGCTATTCTCCACTCAGCCGACAAATCCCCTTTGGACAGGGGCGACGGGGGGCGTGGGTGTATCGCATGAATATGAAACACCCATTTTCTTTTCATTTTCTTTTTCAAAAATGGGGCTTTTATTTGTCCTTTATAAAAAATGAAATGAACAAGTTGGCCTTCAAACGAGCCGACCACCGATGTGTAATTACAAATTATTACGAGCGTATTTCATGTTTTTATTTTGGTAAATTTTTAATTAGACATGTGCAATTTATGACGTAATAATTGTGTCGATGGTAGCCGTTGTTGAAATCCATAATCACGAGTCTTCGAGCACGAAATAAAAAAGTGAAAGGAAAAAGAAAACAAAGATGAGTGAAGGCCAAAAAGATGCCTCCTTAACCATGAACAAATTGGTGATTGAATCTTGCACGTTCAATATCCTGTCTCTTCTAAATAAATGTAATTAAATATGTAAAACATAATATGTAAAATATGTAACTAATTAATTGTTCCAAAATGGAGTTGTCTATTTACTTTCTATAGGCAATCAAAAAAAGTTCCTAAATTCCACAAAATTATTTTTTCATTTACGATGTTACCCTTTCCATTAATTAGAGAGAAATAAATAAAATGGTAGGATCACAATGTTAAAAAATTTTTAACAATTAATTTTTTAAATGATAATATTTAAAAATATATAAAGAAGTCTAAAAACGAAGTCCAGCTTTTTCCTCCCGTGCATATTTTTATTAAATTGGGAGAGGAAAAGGTGAATTTAGGAGACAAGGGGGATAATTAGTGTGGAGTGAAGGGGTCCGACAGCCGGTGTTGGGCCACGTCGAGCCGTCGACGGATAAGGGAGCATCTTTTACCCCCATGGTGAGCCGCCGGGTGGGGAAGTGGGCTCCGCTTTGATGGCGAGCGTGTTTTCCTTTTGAAGCGTGCTCAGCGCAAGCGATTCGTGGCGGGTCCACTCCACCGGCTCGGCTTCAATTCAAGCCGCTCGCTCCGTCACTCTGCAAACCGTTTCCGACTTCACTTTCCAAAATTGATTTTTGATATCTTTTTTGGATTCGGATCTTGGGTATTAAAGCCAGTCCGATGGAGCTTCGTATAACCAACCACCAACCCCCACACCCCCCCCCCCCCCCCCCCAAAAAAAAAAAAAAGTGGTAAATTATTTATTCGTAAAAGTTACTACTATTATTCCAAATTTTGAAATAAATTTCAGCATTTTAAAACATAAAATATCAATATGACATATCGAATAATAGACCCCACATAATCTCAACAAAAATAAAATTCTCATAAGATGAATTTTATTTTATGATTTATTAAATAAAATATTTGTGCAATAGTTTTTAGTATTTTCATCAATAATAATATATTAATGATTTTTATCAAAATAATAGATATTTAATACATTTTGTAAGATATTTTTCTATAATAGTATAAGTAATGTAAGTAAAATTAAGATGTAAGTAGAGAATTTGGTTAAAACTTTACCTAATTCTGACATTTGAACCCTAAAAGAATACGAGGAATGATTGATATTTTGGTAAGAAAATCACATCGAGTTTAGTTCATTTTCTTTTAAGTTACTTCTTACTAGTTAGTGATTAGATTACATGGGTTTTTTAAAATTTTTTAATTATATAAAAATATTAATTTAATAATGAAAATAAAATTAAACTTCTTATACATGTAAAATTTTAATTTTCTTTACATTTATAATTGTTAAAAAAATTTCATTTCTTAAAAAAATAAAAATTAAACTTCTTGTAAATTTAAATTTTGCTAACTTTTTACATTTATAATTGTTGAAAAACTTTTTTTTTAAACATCCACCAAACGCCTTGGATTTCCTGTTAACGCTAAAAGCGCTTGAGTTAAGCTGTGGGGAGACCAGTTAGCCTATAAAATGTTAAAAGCTCCCCTCCCACCCCGTTCATCCATTCTTCACTGCTCAGAAGTCCCTGTCCCCATCTCTCTCTCTCTCTCTGTACAAGAATCGAACAAGAAGGGGAATATAGTGGATTGGAGTTCCAGTTCAAAGCCAAGAAAGCAAAAAGTGGTGCCTTTCTGGCAGCTCTGCAGTCGTCGCTGGCAGTAGAAGACAGCTCTGAGGTGTCGCTGCTTTTGAGGCCTCCCGCCGCCTCTGTTTTTCGGCTCTGACTTTCTATCTGTGCCTCTGTGCAGAGCAGTTGAGACTGCATTTAAGTGCCCCGATTATTTTTCGGCCATTTAATTCATTCTCTCTCTCACTCTGCTAAATCCTGGGAATAAGAATTGAATTCCCTGCTTCAGTTGTGAAGCCTCTCTGTGTACATTCATTGCTGATATCAATTCAGATCTTGGTTTATTCCCTCTGCTTCTAAGAAACAGAAACAGCCAAAGCAGTGCTTTCAGAGATCTGGGTTCCAGAAAGAGACGTCTCGGAGGCGGTATGAAAAACTAGTGTGAAATTGTTCCTTTCTTTTCTCTTTTTCTTTTTTTTTCCTTCCGGGTTTTTTGGTTTCTTGTTTTGTGGCGTTTTACATGTTTTCTGGCGACGTTTTGTGTCCTTTCTTTGTGTCACAGATCTGGTAGAATTGAAAGGTCGCGTTTAGAGGAAACAGAGCACAATGTTGCCTCAGAAGCAGGCAGAGGAAGCCATCGTCTCCAACTTAACCGAGATGGAAAACGAGGGCAAGTCAGAGGAGAAGCACAAGGAAGATGAGTCCATTTTCAGCGTCAAGAGCCTCCTCTGGCATGGCGGCTCTGCTTGGGACGCCTGGTTCAGCTGCGCATCCAATCAAGTACTCTCTGTCTCTGTCTCTATTATTATTATTATTATTATCATACCGATTTGAGGAATTTGACTGAAAATCGGTTAACTTTGATCTCCTCCATTGCAGGTGGCACAGGTTCTGCTGACCTTGCCGTACTCGTTCTCGCAATTGGGTATGTTGTCTGGGATACTGTTGCAGGTATTCTATGGTCTCCTCGGTAGCTACACAGCTTACCTCATCAGTGTTCTCTACATCGAGTACCGAAGCCGGAAGGAGAAAGAGAATGTTAGCTTTAAGAACCATGTCATTCAGGTCAGTCCCCTGTTTCTAAATGTTTCCCAAAACTGTTTCCTATTTTCACTAATTTTTCAGCATCTTGTTCTGAATTCCATGCATATTTATTTATAAATCAAGCATGTTCCGGAAATGTTTATGCAAATTAACACCTTTTTACCCTGGTTCTCTGTTACCCAAAAAAAAAAAACTGTTCCTTGAAACAAACCCAGTGTTTCTGAGACTGAAAGCCTTTTAATTGTTTGCGAGCTTGCAGTGGTTTGAGGTGCTTGATGGGTTACTGGGTCCATACTGGAAAGCAGCGGGACTGGCCTTCAACTGCACTTTTCTTCTGTTCGGTTCCGTGATACAGCTTATTGCCTGTGCAAGGTATGAATAAGGACTTTTGGGCTTTTGCGAGCTTAATACAGAGTCTTAATTTGGACTTATTTTGGCCTTTCCTTTTAAGCAGTAACATATACTACATCAACGACAAATTGGACAAGAGGACATGGACATATATATTTGGGGCTTGCTGTGCAACCACAGTCTTCATTCCCTCCTTCCACAACTACCGTATTTGGTCTTTTCTAGGACTTGGCATGACCACCTACACGGCCTGGTACTTGACCATTGCAGCTCTAATTCACGGCCAGGTAAATGTACTTTCTCTGGGTTTCTCCGAATGGAAACGGTGGAAATCTGTTTTTATTTTTGAAATCAGTGAAAACAGAGGTAGATGCTTTTCCAAAAGCAGTAATAACTTCAGAGAGTAAACAAAAAACATATATAATTTTTGGTTTTTGAAATTAGAAAAAGAAAAAACCCTTGTAACTAGTTTCTGGAAATTGTTTTGGGAAGAATTTTCAAAAGAAACAATTTTGAATGCCTTGGACAAACAACGCCTTAAGTTTTGCTTGGTTGCTGGCTTTTTACTGCAGGCCGAGGGTGTAGAACACTCTGGCCCCGCAACGCTGGTTCTGTACTTCACCGGCGCCACCAATATCCTCTACACCTTCGGCGGTCACGCCGTCACAGTGTAAGCTTTTCTTCTGTCATCTGCATTTATAAATATGTGTGTGTGTGTGTGTGTGTGCGTAAACGTGTATGTATTGCTGTTATACTCTCTCCTTCTCTTCTCCAGGTTCCGTCTGCAGCTTTTGCCGGCCACAGGGCCTGAACACCAGACAGAATTATAGGAACTACTTTTGTTTGCTTGCTACTAGGAAAACAACAGTGCTGTCTTTTGTTTCCCAAAACAAAAAGCTTTAACGCAAGCGAAGCGTTCTGTTTTCCCAGTTCTTCTACGAGCGTTTTTCTCTTTTCTTCGCCTTCTCTCCCGTAGGACGGGTTTATTTTACAATTTAAGAATTCTGAAGCTTAAAAGATATTAAAAATTAAAAATTTTAGAACACACACATTGGAGCCATGGGTATTTTGGTCAAATCATTACACTTCATATGATTCATGGTGCGATTAGAAAATTTAAGAATCCAATGTCTACATTATTTTACTAGACAGTTCTTCTACCCTTGTTAAAGGGGCATGTGGGCTGTCGGGTTCATCCCTTTCATTCTTTGTGGTTCAATCGGAGGTTACAAGAGTCATTTTCAGTTTCAATTATTTATTATTTTTCTAATTTTGGCCGGGGATTTGTATTTTTTGCAGGGAGATTATGCACGCAATGTGGAAGCCCCAGAAATTCAAGTACATTTATTTGCTGGCCACCCTCTACGTTTTCACCTTAACTCTACCGTCTGCCTCCGCCGTGTACTGGGCCTTCGGAGACCAGCTATTGAACCACTCCAACGCCTTCTCCCTCCTCCCCAAGACGCGGTGGCGCGATGCGGCCGTTATCCTCATGTTAATCCACCAGGTCTATTTCCATTCTTGCTTTTGTTTATCCAATTCTTATCTTGGTGTTTGTTTCTAAAAAGCTTATTTTTGAGCTTACGACTATTGGCATTGAGGTTCTTGATTGCTTTTTTCAACTTAGCAGCCTTTTTTTCCTTAAATATTTTCTGAGGAAGGAAAAAATATTTTTGCAGTTTATAACATTTGGGTTCGCTTGTACGCCACTGTACTTTGTGTGGGAGAAGGTGATAGGGATGCACGACACCCGCAGTATTTGCCTGAGGGCGGTGGCGAGGTTGCCGGTGGTGATCCCAATATGGTTCTTGGCCATCATCTTCCCTTTCTTCGGTCCCATTAACTCCGCCGTCGGTGCTCTTCTTGTTAGCTTCACTGTCTACATCATTCCCGCCCTCGCCCACATGCTCACCTACCGCAAGGCCTCCGCTCGCCAGGTAAGTCTTTCCAAATCAATCGGAGTCCGGCAAGATAACAAGAATATGAAATGAATAATTTTATTATTAAAATTATCTTTTTAGCAAGAAAAAATTCTGTAACATCACAGATATGTAATGGTTTGTTTTAAGACCAAGAATTTAAACTCATTTTTACTGCGCCAGCATAAAAGTATAGACGTAGAAAATTGCATTAAAGGCCTGGATTTTGATATATTTGAAGCGGATAGGTGACGTCGTTTTCAATTTAGTTATAAGCCCCTGTCTCGGTGCTGCATTATCTGATCGGTGTGAGCTGGCTCATTTGTTCCCTCATCTACGCTTTAACCCTAACATTTTACTACATTTTTTTTACCATGCCAAAGCAACCACACAACAAACTAGCCCACCGTCAGTGGTCCTATCAAATAAATGTCCCAAACTTAGCCGTTCTTAGCAAACAAATATATGGGCTTTTTAGTTAATCCACTTATTAATTCGTAGTCCATTGGGCTTATCTGAATTGCAGAATGCAGCGGAGAAACCTCCCTTCTTCTTGCCAAGCTGGACGGCCATGTATGCAGTGAACATATTTGTGGTGGGCTGGGTCTTGGTGGTGGGCTTCGGATTCGGTGGATGGGCAAGCATGACCAACTTTGTCAAGCAAGTTGACACATTTGGGCTTTTTGCCAAGTGTTACCAGTGCAAGCCCCCAACTACGACAAAACACTGAGTGGTCTCGATTGGACTTTGGCTTAACTGTCCCTCCATATTTTGTATCATACATAGGGTGGGTGGTAATCATATTCTGTGTGTTGGGTTTTGTTTCTTGTTTATGTTTTTTGTTTTCTAAAATTGCTAGATGAAATAGTGTGTTAAATTGTGATGATTCCTTTGCTATAAAGTCATATAGTCTAATTAGATCCATATAACTATAGTTATTCCTCTACTTTCTGTTGGCGTTTTTGTAATACATTGCTATTTTTGGTTTATATGGCAATGCAATCCTTTGTTGGGATGTTTCCAAGTGTTTTTGTTATTGAAATTTTTATTTTTTGTTTTAAATTAAATATTTTGAAAGTAAAAATCTAATTTTTTGATAATATAATGGATTATTTTATTTTTTAGAAATTTTATTTTATTTAGTTTTTTTTAATTAAAATGACTTTAACCTTTTGCTTAATTAAAAAAAAGACTCAATTAGTTAGTATGTCAACATTTAGTAAGAAATTTTAAAAATTAAAAATAAGAAATTTTAAGAAAAAATGTTTTAAGTAAGTCAAATAATATTTTAATTTTTATTTAAAATATGTAAAATTATATTATTCTTACTTTTTTTAATAAAATTATTAAAGTAAAAAAAATAATATTTTTTCATGCTAATCTGCGTAGAGTAAAACTTTTTTATACTATAAAAATATATATTTGAAACAGTTTAACAATCTATATCTTTAATACTGTGTGGACCTGGATATGGACCTTCACACCCTTTGAAATAATGGGTCGTAGGCCCATTCACGTGGGTTGCGCAGGAGGTCATCACCGGTTCACGTTTCCAAGCCCAGATGATAACCCATGCATGAACGTCCCACAAAGGCGTCGTTTTGCTGTTCTCTAAATGCCTTGTGAATTCAAAGTTAGAAAAACGGTTACAATGAAAAAAAGTTCCAGAAGTTCAACGTGCTTTTTAATTATAGTTACAAGAAATATTACTTTATCAAAGATGATGAGAGAGGTTCACAAAAGACTTAAACGGTTGACGGGTTAAAATTTTAAGGCTACATGTAAATTTTAGGAAAAACTACCGAGCCGAAATCCGGAGGACTATTTTTAAAATTAATGATTTAGAATACTGTAAACAAACATGATTTACTCTCCCTGTGAGCCCCGGCCACCCTCAGCCCTTTGCACAAAGCCTGGAAACCCCATCGTCGGCCTCTCCCCACCCCGGGCCCCTGCAATCCCAATCGTCCTTTCTTGTAATTTCACAAGTTAACATTGGTAATTTTATAGTTTTGTATTTGTAGTTTATTAGTTTGTAGTTTTTTTTTATAATTTTATAAATTTATAATTATAATTTTATAATTTTATAAAAATATATTTATAATTTTATAAATTTATGAATGTAATTTAACGGATAAAAATAACTTATAGATATAAATTTATATTTGTAATTTATAAAAATATATTTATAATTTTATAAATTTATATTTATAATTTAGGTGTAAAAAAAGTGTGAAAAGGTATTTTGAGAAATTAAATTACCTTCTAAATCAATATTTTTTGTTTCATACTTTTTAGATAAATATTTCTAGTTTTAATTTTAGAATAATAAATCTCATCAAGCCGACCGGTTGGGTAATTTTTCCTAAATTTTTTTTAAGGACCACGTTGCAAAAGCACCAAAAGTCCTAAAGCCCAAAAGAATAAAAAGAGGATATGATTAATTTTTATTTTATAATAATTTAGTCTTTCTTCTTTTATAATCTACCCATTATTGTCATATATATATAGCATATATCTCTTATTAATTTATTATATTATATAATTATTTGGGGGATGACATAGTTGTTGCAACTAATAATTCCACAATGCCCAAGAGTATGAAATAGACAGAATTTGAGAGAGTAATTTATGCAATGCACTTTCAAATTTGAAATGTTGGTACTCTGCACTCTAGTAAGGCAAAGGCACAGGAGGCTTTAGAGTGCAAAGTGTCAAAATTTCAAATTGAAGAATGTGTTGTACAAATCACCCAAATGTGAGGCAAGCTTGATTTGGACCGGTTAGGGTGATTAGGCCGTTGAAAAAAGATTAATATGATAAACTCAGAATTTCCACATAAAGCATAATTAAAATTAAATCCCTCAACCAATAAAATTTCTGACGCCCTCTTTTAAATTTAAAGATAATTATTGTTTTGACTTTCCTTCCATTCCAGAAATTTTTAATTCCGTCCTTGCTAAAAACAATGTGTAGGCTTGGAGAAAGTTATTGTAATTGAAGGTAAAAAATGATTATCAATTATTAATTAAATGATTTTTTTTTTTTGTTTGATAAATTAGAGGTTTAAGCTTAGAAGTATTCTTCATCTGTAGATAAGTGTTTTAATATTTGAACTTATTTTCTGCACGAAGAAATAAGAAAATGTCCATAAATATTCTTCGTTACTAGTTTTTGTTGACTATCTTAAGCATGGCCTACTTAATAAAACAATACAACGGTGTTTGTTAGTTTTTGAAGCGCTTATAAGCCCCATATACATATTTTAATTAGTGGAAAAATAATGTCAACATTTATAGCTAAAAGTTTCGCTCCTAGGATTTCATTCAATAAAAAAATATTTAGGCTAATTTTTAACTAAATTTTCAAATTTTTTAAGTAAGATTTAATTTTTTAAAATATATTTTTATATAAATTATCTATTATAAAAAGCTCTCTTATTTTTTTAATAAAAAATAAGAACTGAATTCATTAAAAAATGTTCAAAAAGGCAAAATGATCTAACGTGGGATGAAAGCCACATCCTACAAAACCCAAAACCAGATCAATAGCAAGGAAAAAAAGAAAAGAAAAGAAAAAAACCAACCCGCCTAACCAACTGATGGAAAATAAACACTCAAACTTTATTTCATACCTTGAATGATTTACAAAGGGTCCTATTTATAAGAAAACTAATCCTAATTCTAATAGGAAACATAATCCTAGTAAAACTCTAATGCCTCTAAAGATAATTACATAAAAATTAAATCCTAATTTATGATAATTACAAAACATTATCTTTAAACACAATTCCTTAAACTGATAACTACGGAAATCAGTTTAGAGAGATGTCCTTAGCTGAAATAATCCCGAGCCTTGATCGAAACTTCACGAACACATCTTGTTTGAGGGTTTTGGTCATAATATCTGCAACTTGTTTACCACTTGGACAAAACTCAAGGTTGATCACACCACTATTACATTGGTCCGCAGAAAGTGATAACGAATATCAACGTGTTTGCTACTCCCATGTAGTACTGGTTCTTAGAAATCTTGATTACTAAAGCATTATCACAAAAGATAGTAGTTGGTTCCACTTGCTTGTTTGAAGTGTTTCCATCAACTTCCTTAACCAGATAGCCTGACAGGAACATGTTGTTGCAGCAACGTGCTTAGCTTCTATAAAGGATAAGGTAACTATCTGTTATTTCTTTGATAACCAAGAGATTACTCTAGAACTCATCATAAATACAAAATCTGATGTACTCTTTTTGTCATCAATATCTCTAGCATAATCACTATTTGTAAAGCTAAGAAGCAAATCTTCATTATCTCCTTGATAAAGGATTCCAAAGTCAACTGTTGCTTTCAAGTATCACAGAATCCTTTTGACAGCTGAGAGATGATTTTCAGTTGGATTTTCCATATATTGGCTTATTAAACTGACACTATACATAATGTCTGGTCTTGTTACAGTTAAGTACATCAAGTATCCAATCATTTGTTTGTAGAGTGTGGGATTCACCTTCTTCCCTTCATCATCTTTTGAGCTTGAGACCATATTCAGTGAGTGTGCTAACAGGATTGCAATCATTTATTTGGAATCTATCCAAAATCTCAAGAACATATTTTCTTTGTGAAACAAAGATTCTAAGTGATGACTGAGAGACCTCAATGCCAATGAAGTAATACATCAAATCTAGGTCTGACATTTCAATTCTGACATCATATTTTTTTTGAATTCAGCAAGTATACCTTTGTCATTCCCAGTGTAGATGAGGTCATCCACGTACAAACATACCATAAGTAAACTTCCATTGGCACGAGTCTTTGTGAAGAGAATATGTTCATGAGGGCACTTCTAGAAACCTGTTCGGGCAAAATAAGCTTTAATACGACTATAGCAAGCCTGTGGACTTGTTTTAAGCCATATAGAGCTTTTTCTGAGCTTGTAGACTTTATGCTCATTGCCATGCTTGGCATATCCAAGAGGTTGATCAATATATACCTCTTCTTGTAGGTCTCCATGCAGGAAGGCTAATTTTACATCTAACTGATAAATAGGCCATGACTTCTAGGCAGCCATGGATAACACCAGTCGAATGGTTTCAAGGCGAGTAATTGGAGCAAACACATCCTTATAGTCAACTCCATATTCCTGCTTGTACCTTTTTACAACAAGTCGGGCCTTGTGTTTATTGATGCTGCCATCCTTATTTAGTTTGGTTTTGTACACCCATTTGACTCCGATGGCTTTTTGTCCTGCTGGAAGGTCTACCAAGTCCCAGTATTGTTTTTTTCAATGACCTTGATCTCTTCATCCATTGCTTTTTGCCATTTTGGATCCTTAGCAGCTTCTTCAAATCTAATAGGATCACAATCTGCAGATAAGGCAAAGTGAGCAATATCATCATCAATAACCCCTCACCTGTTACATAGTCTTGCATCTAGTTAGGTTTCTTTCTGGGACGTTGTTGAGGCTCTTCTGTAGGGTCAATCTGAATGGTGTGTTTGCCAGAGGTTTGAATTTGCTGAGGAGATAATGGGTCTGTTTCTTTATCATCAAAACTGACTTGCATAGGCTGTTGCCTAGAAGCATCATCACTCCAATTCCAAGTGTTTCCCTTGTCAAAAATAACGTCCCTGCTGATTACAATCTTTTTAGTGACTGGATTATAAAACTTGTAAGCCTTGGAAACTTCACTTATCCCTAGGAAGACACACTTTTCACTTCTGTCATCCAGTTTCTTC